TCTGGTGCAGCAAAACTCTAGTGCAGCAGAAGTAGGTCAGAGTTCACGGCGCACTGTACACTGTAAAAAATAGCTCGTTAATTCAACCAAAAAAGATACTTCATGTGGTGACAAGTAAATGAACCAGTTTTATTCAATCTGAATAAATACTTTAAATACAGGATTCTTTCAATCAGTGTAATATTTGAGTTGAATAGAACTAGTTCTGTTGCTTGTTACTACATGATGTCATTTTTTGGGTTGCACTGATGAAGCACTTTTTACAGCATATCCTGATCCCACCCCTCCCCCCTCTGAAACAAAAACAAACACCATGTGCTGACAGTAAGCTTCAGACTCATCTCTTTCAGTTTTCTGAAATTTTTAATGAATTGTGGTGCTCTGGATGTCTCTCTGCACTCGTCTAGAAACATGAGGGGATGTGCCGGACCAAAAAAAAACACAATATGATACCACAATGTGATGTTTATGAAAAATAAACTACTATATCGCTGTTGTCGGAACAAAACCTCATGTCTCCAAAAAGAGAACTTTGCAGGAGAAGGAAAAAACATACTCTACTTTTAATGTAAGTCAATGGAACCAGACTTTTTTCCAAGTAATTTTGGGTCGTTTCTTTTGGTCCACTCATCATTAAATTTACAGACAAAGTATAGGACAAACGGTACTTTCAAATATGTCAAAAACTGAAAAATGAATGAAAAAATGGAGATACGAGGTTATTACAGGGTAATTACAGGGTAACAAGTGGATTGTGAGTTTTGAACCAGATCACTCACTGCTGCTTTACCCCTTGACGAACCTACGATGGTTACGGGGAGTAGGTCGTGCTGATTGTTATGATATGTGTATCATGTCTGTAACTTAAACCATTTGTATGTTTGTTATGAAGCCTAAACACAGAGGTATGATTTTAGGGTAAAGAGAGGATTTTGGGTGTTTTTTTGAGGCAGATTGCCTACTGATGCTTTGCCTTACCTCACTGTAACTGCTCTAGAGAGAGTCAGTTCTGCTGATTGTTGTGATTTGAGTAGAATCTTTGTGAGTTAAACCATTCTTGTGTTATGAAATCTAGAAGACAACCATGCAAACAGCCAACAAAAAGCTTTGGGCTCTAAGGGTTAAGTTGGTTGCGACTGTGGGAACTGAATTTCAGAGGAGCTGTGAATGAGTTGCAGGATGCTTTAGATTATGCAACTCAAGAGAAATGTAGTTAATGCGAGTTTCAGGCAACTAAAAGCTTCATTGTGTAAAACCAGCCTAGGGTGCGACTGTCTAAGTGTTGGTCCCATCAACAGGAAATCGCAAGTTCAATCCCCAGTGATGCCACAGCCATCTGTGGCCGGGAGTCCAAGAGGGCACAGTTGGCCTGGCCCTCTCGGCTGGCCCTCCTTCTCCCCCATCACTCACTGTGATGCTAGCCAGCAGAGTTTGTGGTTGGCATAGTGTAGTGGTTAACGCCTCTGCCTCCTACACTGTAGACTGGGGTTCCATCCCCTGCTCGGGCAAAGACCTACACTATAGGAGTCCTTGGGCAAGGCACCTAACACTACCTTCACCTACCTGTGTAAAAATGATGATCAAATTGTAAGTCACTCTAGATAAGAGCGTCTGCCAAATGCCGTAAATGTAAATGTTAGCTGATGTAGCAGAATTGGCAGTTAGAGTTCTCCTCCAAGCGTGTTCAGCTGCTTTACGTGACTCGGCGGAAGCTTGTGGCTTCACCCTTCTAGCACAGGTGGTATTGTGTGATTGGGGGAGTCCTAACTAATGGGTGGAAATGGAAACGTCTGAATTGGGGAGAAAATTGAAAAAAAAAAATCCCCCACCCCCCCAAAAAAAGCCAGCCTAAAGGTGTCAGTGCCACATACTGCACTCCCACAGTAACTTAATCATCCAAATCAGTAAACTCCTAAAAGTAAAGGTTCCTAAATAGTTCTTGTGTAAAGAATGTGCGAAATGAAGAACACTTTTAAAGAAATGGCATTTGAGAGCTTCACTATTATTCTTTTCATTATGAGCAGCACTTACTTCTCATGTTTCATGCTTTCTTCAAATCTCTTAAGATCTACATATTCAGACTGACTCTTGGATTTAGCACAGGCACCACCTGGACATTCGACATCAGCAGCATGTACCTGAGTCTCCTCTATTAAAGAAAATGGCAATTCTTCCCGGCTTTGTTTTGAGCCATCCACCTTGGCCAAATACACTGCTGACCTCATTTATGCGCTTAACTAGGCCCGTCTCTGTGGCTGCTACTCGACTAAAGCAGGTCGTTTACTCCTTTTTCTGGGATGGAATAAAAGGACAGTACATACTGTTACCCCTTGTAACTTATTTCTGTCTGAAACTTGTCTAAACACTTCCCTCACCCTCTGTCTGAGGCATGCTATGGCCCAACCAAATCCTCTCTTTGGTGACATTGCTTCATCTGTTCATTAACCCCTCAAAATCCCAGGCTTATTACATACTAAGGTTTATTATTTAGTAACTACACTGACTTCAATACAAACTGATTGAGCTTTTCTTAGTTTGTAGAACTTGTAAAACTTTGGGCCCACTGGCCATTTAAGGGGTACTAAGAGCCTGTGTTTCTTTTAAAATACATGAGTGTGGCCCGTGCTTAGAAGCAATTAGATTTTTGCAGCATTGTGGTTCAATTTTAGTCCATTACTCTTGGCAAACCATCTTTAATTGATAGACTCTTGAATTGTCAATGAGATTCTAGTCAGTAGATTGGCTAGACGATGCAAGCACCTTCACCTTCTTTAGAGGCCAGTCTTAAGTTATTTTGGCAGCGTGTTTTGGCTCATTGTCTAGTTGAAACGTCCATCTTCTCCTCTTTCTTGGCCATTGAGATTAAATTCTCTTCTAATATGTCCCAGTACATCGCTTTGTTCATGTATCGTTCTATGATTTGTAATGTTCCAGTAGCATTTGCAGAAACGCAGCTCCATATCGTGATGCTCCCACCATCATGCTTCACTGTGGGCACTCTTGGGATCATACGTGCAACCCCTCCTTCTCCAAACATGATGAGCTGAATTATCACCATACAGATCTAGTTTAATTTAATATGACTAGAGCACATTGGGCCTCATTCACCAACCGTTTTTAGGAAGAAGTTTCTTCTTAAAACCAACTTTTATGCAGTTTTTACAAAGATATTTGTGAATAATAATGATGGAGTAAAAGTGTAAGTTTGCTCTAATCAAAGTGGGGATGCAGGTGTTCCACATGCTCCACTGTCCGGGAGCCTGTGGCTCTGCTGACCCTACAGTTTTCCTCCTGGGCGTGTTTGTTGGACGTCTCTCACTGACTGTGTGTTGCGGGTTCTGCTGTGGGTTCTGTTCAGTATGCAGTGTGCTGGCTCGCTCTGATCTCCTGCGGTTTTCCATCCTGCTGCTGCCTGTTGTGGCTCTGCTGTTCTCACACAGGCCTTTCTCCTTTGTTGTCTCTGCGCTGGTGGAGAAGTCTCTTGAACGCCGGACCCCTCCGGACCCTCCTGCGTGGGGAACAGAAATTAATCTATTTTTCACTCTCCCTGGTGTTTGATACCCTGTGTAGCAGAGGCAATGTCATATCCTTGTTCTCTCTCTCCCGCTCTCTCTCTCTCTTTCTGTTTCTTTCTCTATACATTTCTCTCTGTCTTTCTATTTATTTCTTTCCTCTCTCCTCTATTCTTTCTATCTTTTCCCTTCTTTTTCTTTTTCTTTCTTTCTTTCTTTCTTTCTTTCTTTCTTTCTTTCTTACTTTTTTCCATCTTTTCTTCTTACTTTTCATTTTTCCAAGCTTTTTCTCCCTTAGTCTCTCCCTCACCTTTTGTGTCTTCCTCCCTTCCTTCCTTTCATTCATTCTTTTCCATTCTTTTTCTTTTGCTCCTTTTCTCTTTTCATTTCTGTTTCTCTTTTTTTCAATCCTTCTCTCTCTCTCTCTCTCTCTCTCTCTCTCTCATTAGTCTCCTCTTCTATTTAATCCTTCTTTCTCTTTTCTGCAATCCTGCTGTCTCTCTGTTCTTTCTTTCTTTCTTTCTTTCTTTCTTTCTTTCTTTCTTTTCTACTCTTTCTCACTCCTCTCTGGATCTCTGCCTCTCTCACTTTCTTTCCTGTCTCCCCTATTCTTTTTCTTTCTTTCTTTCTTTCTTTCTTTCTTTCTTTCTTTCTTTCTTTCTTTCTCTCTCCCTCAGTCTCTATCTCTCCTTTTATTCATTCTTTCATGCCTTTTTTCTGCCCCCTTCACTGAAACTCAGGCGTTGTAGATGTTCTCCACCGTCCGGTGGATCTGAGTGTTTCCTGTTCTCCGGCGTGTGGAGCTCTAAATCAGACCTGCAGGTGAAGTGGCTCAGAAGAAGGTGATGGACCCTCACTGTGTGGAAATTGTGAGGCCGGGTTAGATTGTCTCCTGCGGAGTTCATCTGAACTCCCTCTAATTTAACCCTGCAGGGGCTCATTTAACCCTGGTGGGTTTTCAGTCCCTCAGAAAAAACAAATCTCTCTGAATGTGTGCAGCTGAGATCTGGATAGAGGGAAAGAAGCTGGAGAACGAGCTGTGTTCTGCGTCTGTTGGGTTCTACAGTTCTGGATCACAACATGGCTGAGGATGGTCACCTAACATTTATGTCGAAGCAGAGAAAACACCAAAATCAAAAAAGCACCAAAGCGTTCTGCTATTGTTACAATGTCAAGGTTGTAACAAGAGAAGAACGCTTTTTGGTGCTGTATAGAACCACATACACCACATTCCCCATCAATTTGAAGAATATTTCACCATGCAGAGAACCATTTAAAACATACAGAACCAGTGTCTTTACTAAAGAACCCATGAAGAACCCTCATTTTTAAAAGTGTTGGATTCGAAAACAATTATATGACAAAGAGATGTACAGTAGACATAAAGCAGACACACAGACATACAGTAGACATAAAGCAGACACACAGACATACGGTAGACATAAAGCAGACACACAGACATACGGTAGACATAAAGTAGACACAGAGATGTACAGTAGACATAAAGTAGACACAGAGACGTACGGTAGACATAAAGCAGACACAGAGACGTACAGTAGACATAAAGTAGACACAGAGATGTATGGTAGACATAAAGCAGACACAGAGATGTACAGTAGACATAAAGTAGAAACAGAGATGTACGGTAGACATAAAGCAGACACAGAGACGTACAGTAGACATAAAGTAGACACAGAGACGTACGGTAGACATAAAGCAGACACAGAGACGTACAGTAGACATAAAGTAGACACAGAGACGTACGGTAGACATAAAGCAGACACAGAGATGTACAGTAGACATAAAGTAGAAACAGAGATGTACGGTAGACATAAAGCAGACATAGAGACGTACAGTAGACATAAAGTAGACACAGAGATGGACAGTAGACATAAAGCAGACACAGAGACATACGGTAGACATAAAGCAGACACAGATGTACAGTAGACATAAAGCAGACACAGAGACATACGGTAGACATAAAGCAGACACAGATGTACAGTAGACATAAAGCAGACACAGAGAGATGTACAGTAGACATAAAGCAGACACAGAGATGTACAGTAGACATAAAGCAGACAGAGAGAGATGTACAGTAGACATAAAGCAGACACAGAGACATACGGTAGACATAAAGCAGACACACAGAGATGTACAGTAGACATAAAGCAGACACACAGAGATGCACAGTAGACATAAAGCAGACACAGAGAGATGTACAGTAGACATAAAGCAGACACAGAGACATACGGTAGACATAAAGCAGACACACAGAGATGTACAGTAGACATAAAGCAGACACAGAGATGCACAGTAGACATAAAGCAGACACAGAGATGCACAGTAGACATAAAGCAGACACAGAGAGATGTACAGTAGACATAAAGCAGACACACAGAGATGCACAGTAGACATAAAGCAGACACAGAGAGATGTACAGTAGACATAAAGCAGACACAGAGATACACAGTAGACATAAAGCAGACACAGAGAGATGTACAGTAAACATAAAGCAGACACAGAGATGTACAGTAGACATAAAGCAGACACAGAGATGTACAGTAGACATAAAGCAGACACAGAGAGATGTACAGTAGACATAAAGCAGACACACAGAGATGCACAGTAGACATAAAGCAGACACAGAGAGATGTACAGTAGACATAAAGCAGACACACAGAGATGCACAGTAGACATAAAGCAGACACAGAGAGATGTACAGTAAACATAAAGCAGACACAGAGACATACGGTAGACATAAAGCAGACACAGAGATGCACAGTAGACATAAAGCAGACAGAGATGTACAGTAGACATAAAGTACTCTGTCTCTGTGTCTGCTTTATGTCTACTGTGCATCTCTGTGTCTGCTTTATGTCTACTGTAAAGGTAAAGAAAGGGATACAGAGAGAGAAGGAAAGAGAGAAGGGGAGAGTGAAAAAAGGAGATAAAAGAGAGAGAGAGAGATAGAGAGAGAAAACCAGAGAGAGGGAAAAAGCCAGAATAAGGGCAGTAGGATAGATAGAGCAACAGGGAGCGAAAAAGAGAGGGACAAAAGAGAGACAGGGAGAGGAGAGTGATAAAGAGTGAAGGGGACTAAAAAAGAAAGGGATAAAAAGAGGGGTAAGGGAGAGAAGAGAGATAGAGTGATGAAATGACAGAGAAATGGAGAAGAACAGACAGAGGGCAAGAGCGATAGAGAGAGAAGCTAGAGAAAACGCCTGTTAGAGAGAGAGAGAAAGAGAGAGAGAGAGAGAGAGAGAGATAGAGAGAGAGAGAGAGAGAGAGAGAGAGAGAGAGAGAGAGAGAGAGAGAGAGAGAGAGCTTTAGCAGCACTGTTCAGGATGAGCAGGATGGAGAAGTCAGTGAGTTTTGGGATTTCTGGGTTTCAGCCTCACTGATTTATCCACTGTGTTCACCTAAAGCAGACAGACCCTCTGGGAGGTGCAGTGAGGGGCCTGAGGTGAAGTTAATAAGTCTGGTGTCGTGGAGCGGCAGAGAAGAAACAGTGACTCAGCCTGAGCTCATGTTTACATACATAATCATCCTGACGCTTTCGGTTCTATCTGCAGAGTCTGGCTCCATCTAGAGGCTGTTCAGCAGAGGAACCTAAACTCAGAACACAGCACGAACTCAGAGTCTCTACACAGAAACGACTAGAGGGACAAGAGCAGCATCTCAGAAAAACAGCTCTGAAAAAAGACGGTTCTTCAATGGTTCTTTAGTTACGACAAAGGTTCTATATAGAATCATGAGCACTCAAAGAAAGCCATGGTCAAATGGTTCTTCAGACTGATGGAGAACGTGTTGTATATGCTTCTACATGGAACCTTTTCAAAAATAGTTCAATATTAAAGTGTTCACGTGGTTCTGTATAGCACCAAAAAGGGTTCTTCTGTTGTTACAAGCTTGGCATCATAACAATAGCAGAACCTTTTCTGATGCTATGTTGAACCATTTTCAAAAAGGTTCTATATAGAATACTATACAACACATTCTCCATCAGTCTGAAGAACCATTTCACCATAGAAAGAACCCTTTAAGCATGCAAAGGGTTTTTTGAGTGCTCATGGTTCTATATAGGACCATTTTCTTTACTAAAGAACCCTTGAAGAACCATCTTCTTTAAAAGGATACTGAGGAAATTGTAGATCTGCAGTGCGATTTCTTAGTATATCCAGCATCTATCAGCACAAGAACGAAAGTGTGTTAGGTTCTATTCTTACACTATTCTTATACTACCAACCTCTGCTGTTAAAGGAGAATTCCACCAATTTTCCAAAATTTCTACACAATCAGATGGTTAAGATGTAAACAAAGTCGTTCAGAGTGGTTTGGTGTGAAACGCTCTGCTCTAGAGAAACTTACTGAGTCAGAATTGTTCACAGTGGTGGTGATAGGAACCAGACGTCCACCTCTAAAAGCTCCCTCACAGAAACTTATTACACTAAATGTTTATGAATTCACTGCCTGATGACTGAGACACTGTTTTAAGACAGCTCTGAGGAGATTTCGGCCTAAAACATTTAAAAGCCATTCATCATGGAGGGGTGCATGTGCAAAGTGTTGTGAGGCAAAATAGTCCATGAAGAAAAGTTATTTGTTCAGATTTCCCACTATTTCACCATCATGACCACTACCTATAAAACTCAGAAGACCCGTGTAGGTTCACTGGTGGTTTCGGACAGTAAATAAAATGTCTATATTTGTGTTGTAGACATTGTGACCCCTGGTTCCTAGGTAGTACCATGGTGGTGGTAGTATGAGGGAAGACCGATTGAGAGAGGGGGGAGAACTCTGAGAACTTGGGCTGGATTCCCCTTCATAGCTGTAGTAGGAGTGATGCAGGACTGAGGAACAGGGAGGAGATGGGGTGGCGGTGGAGATTGCCAACACTTCGTCACGGGAACGGAAGGCACCCCTGGTCAAATGACATGCTTTTGGGGAGTAGGGTCACAATGGTGATCATAACAACAGGCGAACAAAACCAAAGGGACAAGACAAAAGACGTGGTCGAAAAACAGGCAGTCAAGTTCAAAAAACACAGATCAAAAAGACAGGGCAACGGTACAAAAGGGGCAGGAAGAGGCAAATCAAAGATCGACGCAAAGGTTGGATAATCAGAAATATACAGATAGAACTAAACGCTCAGTAAGTTCGCTGGGAAACAACACCTCGCACTGACTCTACCTACAGCCCGGGCTTAAATACTAAGCTAAACAGATCACATGATAAAAGCACAGGTGAAACAGGTTAATACTCAGGAGACTTTGATCGTTGACAGGTACGTGAGACATTGTCCGAAGTCACATGATCCTTGAGTGATTTGTGGGTATTGGAGTCTTTCTCTGACTGCGACTTGGCATGAAGTCTCTCAATCACATGACCTCCCAGAGTATTCTGGGAAATGGAGTCCGACTCTCCCTGAGAGTTTGTTACATGCGTGACACTACTGCACATTTTAATGACCAATTAGAATTTTATATTATAATATACCTATATACGGCCTGTGCAAAACAATTTTAAAGAAATAAAAAGAAATTGTGCACAAAAATTTGTTGAAACATTGAAGTGTCTGGATGCGTTCTTTTGACCGACTGTATGTAAATGTGTGTTTTGTGACATCCCAAAAACAGTGAATTCACATTGGGCTGTTTTTGTAGCTTTGTCTTCATAAAATTGAAGAGGAAACAGCTCATACTCAAAATCAAGCCTAAATAAAATAATAGCCCTTTAGTGATTTTCATGTGTGGCATGCCCCCAACCCCTGAGCCCTGATGAGGGCTGCGAGAGCCAGCAGGAAGGCAGGGCCCAAACTCCGAGCCCAGAGGAAACCCGTGAGGGAGTGGGGGACAGGCCCGTGCCACACCATGGTATGGGCTCCTTAAGTGAACAGTCATGATTACATTGCTACACCAGATTTTCTACAGAGTGAGGTGCGCTGTGTGTTAAGCTTGCTGTGACAGCAGGTGAGATCACACTCACAGCTGACCCTAATCCAGGTAATGATCTTAGTGTAATCTAGTGACGCTGTTGGTTTACGCCTCTCTCTCTCTCTGTGTCTCTCTGCTGTCTCTCTGCCGAGTCACTGTGCTCTGCGGGAAGCTCCTGAGATGATGATTCGGCAAAACCACAAGCAGGACGCGCTGCCATCAGCCGTGAGTACCCACTTCACACCGAACACACAGAGTGCTTTGGGTCACTTCACTGATCTACACTTCTGAGAGATGTTTAGAAGAGTTTTATGAAGACACAATGGTTCAGTTCAGTGATCACGATGTATGTTTATGTGTCAGTTGTTCATAAAATTTCAAATTTCACAGTGATTACAGTCAATTCAATTATTTTAGCTCTTTCTACAATCATTTTTCAAAATATGCTGAATACCTTTATGTATAACTGGAGGAACATTATTATAATCGATGATAATTGAATCCCACATTCCAAAAATGTCCGGCATTCAATTCCAAAAACTTTGCAAAACGTGCTGTTGAATCATCACCTCCAAACTGATTAACGTCAACAATTAAGTATAATATCAAAATTTTCACTCACTTTCAGTTTCTCTGAGAAATCTGCAGGGATATTTTCCACACCTCCAAAGTTCAGTCTTAGAAGCTGGTTGATCATTTTCTGAAGTAATCAAACCCATTCAGTGGTGTTGAGGTCTGGACTCTGGGGTGGTCAGTCCATTGTTCAGCTTCTTTGCTTGATGTGTCCGTCTCCTTTTCTCAGTGAGGTTCTTCTTCACAGCTACACATCCTTTCAGACCCACAGCGCTGAGTCGTCTTCTCACAGTGGAAGGATGGACAGAAACACCTGTGGATGTTTTCAGATCTGAAGCAGCTTGATTTTCTCCTCTCTCTCAAAGATGAAAGCTTTAAGTGCTGTTTATCTGATGGGGACAGTGTTGGTGTCGACCAGGTCTTCCAGGTGGTTGTTAGGAG